TTACAAATAAAAATAAAAATAAAAATAATAAAAACAAAACTATAATTATTTCTTATGATTATATTACAAATTCATTTAGATTGATTAATTATCAAATATATAATTCAAATTAGAATTTTTTTAGAATTTATATATAAATTTCAATCAGAATTATGTATTACAAAGAGATTTTAAAATTTGTATTCAACATATTGCAGATTTTAAGCTAATTAGTGATTGGATTTTAATGATTTTAGATTTATTGAAATTGTTTTAATAAAAAATTTAATGATAGTAAATCATATTTTTAATAACAATATTAATTGAATTATTATAAAAAATGTATTTTACTATATGTCATTTATAAATTATATGAGAAATGTTTAAATCTTATCATAATTATATTAATAAATAATTTAAATTACTTATTAAATAATAATCTTATTAATTTAAAAATTAAATAATCATATTATTAGAGTATCAACTTTTAGTTATATAAAAAATAATTTATATTTATGATTAATATTTGAAATGTAAATTAAAATAAGATTTTCAAGTATTATTATAATAAAAAATTTACTTTTATATTAAAAATTTTTTATATAAAATATAATAGTATAATAATATTTAAAAATTTTATATTTTAATTTATATCTCATTTATTAAATAAATTATATTTTATAATAAAAATTTATTTTTAACTTTAATAGATATTATACTTAAAATTTATTTTATTAATTAATATAATGCTGGAAATCTATATTTAATAATAAAATTATAATACTTAAAAATCTTTTAGAACTTTAAAAAATAAAATTTTAAAAAAATAAACTGGTAACTTTATTCTTTAAGAGATGAATACTATTAAATTACCAGTTAGATTTCTGAAAAAAAAATCTAGATAAAAAGTTATAAGTATTTAAAATTGCATGATTTTTATATGATCAGCTCAAATTTGAAATAATATCAAATCACATGAATGTAATTTTATTAGTTAAAACTTATGATAATTTAGGCTAACATTATAATAATTTTACTCTGGCCTAAATTATTACAATTAATTATACTCAGATATTTTTTTTAACTTGATAAATTAATTTTTTTTTAAACTAATAATCAAATTTTTTTTACATTTAGATTTGAAAACTGATCATACTCTTAAAATAATATATAAAATAAAGAGGCAAAAGCAAATTAGTAAAATACCTAGAAAAAAAAGATGCTATGTATCTCAAAATTAAATTATTATAGAAGAAACTACTATGAAAGAAGTGGAGGCTGTTAAAAAAGATGAAGTTATTATTGAATTAATAAAAGGTGATGAGACTGTTAAAGATTGGATGAGAGAAGACTTAAGAGAATTTAAGAAAGTAGAAAAGAAGCTTATTACTGAAACTCTTCGTTGATAGGAGGATGCTACTTATAGCATTAGAGCAGCATATATTAGAAATTTGAGAATCACAATCTGAAAGAAAAAAATAAAAAAAGAAGTGTTAAAAGAAGCTGCAAAGGAAATAAGAATACTTGATATATTTTTAAAATGTTCTGAAAAAGCATCTGAAAAAGTATTCTCATTACGTCTAATTTTAGAAAGTTCTTTGCTTTTGTCATCATCACAACCATTTCCAGAAATTACACAGGATTCTTTATTTTCTATTAATAATCTACTTATATGTTTAAAAGAAATAAATAAATAATATTTATTATTATAATCTGTAAAAAAAATGAAAAAATCTTTACTTATGACTATTTATGTTGATTAAGTATATGCAGGTTTATTTAGCTATTATTAAATGAACAAGGTAAAATGGATGCTAGCAATAATATTACATAAATTATATGGAATAAAAGTGATTATATAGTGAGATGTATTCAGAAATGGGAAGCATAATTTATAAAAATGGGAGAGCTTCTTACTTATTGTTAAGGGAAACATTCAAAATTGGAAAGTTTGTTAGATGATGAGGATTTTAAGAAAGAATGGCAAATATAGTTATGGTAATAAGCACCTGAATTATGTTTTCTTAAAAACCTAAAAATATATCGAAAAATAGTATTTCTAAAATTAACAGGATATATAAAAAAAGATATAATTTCTGAAAGAACTTGCTGAAGTTATATGCATATATGGGAATATAAATATGATAAGAAAAAAAAGGAGTTTATTATGATGAGTATGAGTGATCAGATTTAGTAATATATAAAAAAGAATAGTTAAAGAAGATGTTTAAATATAAGAAATCTATGAAAGAATTTGATGGTATTATGTTAGATATTGTTTTGGAACTATAGCTTAAGCTGAAAGAGAAGAAAATAGTGTAAGTAACATATAATGAGTGTCATTTTTTTGCAAATGATAGGCAATAAAAAATCTAAATAAGAGACGATGAGGATATTCTATGCTCAAAATACATTGAACACTCTATTATGATTTCAGCTTTTCTTTGTCTATGTTATAGATTATTATGATTATTTGATAAACAATTGCAAGTAAATTTACATATTAAAGATAAAGCTTTCATTCTTTGATCTATACAAGTAGACAGATATTAGAAGTTAGAATATATGTTAGATTAAGTTCAAGTTTTCTTATTCATTTACCTAAAATAAAATGTGTAAAATTTTTTTAAAAAAAATTCTCTTAATTATAAATATAGCTTATATATCAAGTAATTCTAATATTTGAGATATTGCATTCAGGATGTATTGGATTTTTTTGTTTTGATCAATCAACAAATTATAATGTTATAGCAGTTGATGCACTTATTGCAACAAGAATGAATTTGGATTCTGAAGAAATACAGCCTAAGATATGTGATGATTGATACATTACTGAAAATAGTGAAAAATATGTTCAATCAATAATATTTCCAGATAATCATCAATTAAAAGGGCAATCAAAGAGTATTAAATAAGTACTCAAGGAATGTAACCTTTGGCTAACAAAAGGAATTCGTTTGACATGTGAGCAATATTTTGAAAAATATAATGAAGTTAATCTAGAAAGATCAAACTATTATGTATAAAGAATAATGTCATTACAACCTAACTTTTGTGAATAATAGTTGATTTTGAAAGAAGTAATAACTAAAGTAGAACATATTTTTAAACGATACTTGAAATTTCATTGTGAATGCAACTTTATAGAATGATATTAGAGCTTTGTAAAATGAGAGAACAAATGGTTATGCAGTTATAATTTTGCAGATTTACTAAAACAAGTTCTAAAAATCCTTATTAGTGTTTCTATAACAACTATTCATAGGTTTGCATATAAGTTATAGAGGTATATAAATATATATTACAAAGGGTTGAAGGGTAAAACTGCTGAATAGGCTGTTAATAAGTATAAATTATACTGTCGATTACCTGAAAACATTATCTTTACCATTATAAATTGTAAATTGTTTAATTCAAATATTAAATACATAGCTTATACATTACTTCATTTCACATTTCTCATTGAAAGTTGGTTTGAATAAGACTTTAAAATATATAATGTGTCAAATTATGTGTTTAAATTCTTTTTTTGCATTTATATAGTTTTTATTATACAAATATCCTCAGTTTTTATTGGTCTATTTAATGTTATGTAATATGAGATTGCTGTCAGAAAATTGAAATAAAATCACATGATTGTCAAGTATAGATTTCCAGCATTATACATAAAATACAAAATTTTAAATTTATTAAGTAATAATTATTAATATATATTGAATTATATTATATTTAGTTAAATTTATTATTGATATATTAAAAATCATATAAATGAACTATGATTATATAATTTTGACCAAATTATAATTTTATATATTATAATTCTATAATGCTAGTCTAACTTAAAATTTAAATAATAATAATAATAAATTTGTTCAACTAGAATGATTTTACTGACCTGATCTTGATTTTTTAGGTAACAAAAAGTTTGAAATTAATATTACAAACATTTCAAATTTATCTTATCCTACTAGAGATCAAAATTCTAAATGAAAACATCCAGATATTTATATTGAGAGTTTAGGGAAACCTAATTATTTGTCAAATTTTATATTAAGTAATAATAAGTAAATTTAATAAAATTTAATAAAAATGATTTACATAATATACATTTTATTAATTTTTACAATTATGAACATATTGCTAAAATTATATGTAAATTTATAGTTGTTGGACGAAGTCTATAGTCTAATAGTCCAAATTTTAATGGAATTGGAATGGACCAAGTCCATTAATCCAAAAGGCCAACACTTTTCGTATAACAATATTCATATAACTTTTTAAAAAACTAATTTTATTTAAAAATATATCAATAATATAATATGTTGTATATGCTGTAGCTTCGCAAAAATGTTTAATTTTTTTAATTTTTTTTGATATATAAGTGTGTGTATATATTTTAGAGTTTTTTTTTTTTTGTTTGAAAAAAAAAAAAAAAAATTATCAAAATTTAAAAAAAAAGAAAAGAAAAAAAAAAACACGAAGTAATACTAAATATAATAGTAAACAAACTATCACAAATATGAAAAAAGTTGTGGTAAATGAAAAAAAAAAGAAAGTTGAGAAAAATTCTATTTACAAATAATATAAAGAAATTTCGCGCTTTTAGTTGGTAAACCCAACGATATTTCAAATTAACCAATTCATTAAAAAATATACATGGAATATCAACATAGGCTAAAAAATTGTCAATGAGAGTTACGAATAGTTATGTAATTTATATGAATACTAATATATATATATATATATATATATATATTAAAAAATTTCAGGATACCTGCGCGAAAATGTATATATATATATATATATAATGAATGTCGAATAAACAAAACGAATGAAATTGAACAATGTGGAATTATAATTAAAGGAATTCCTTCTTATTAATAATAAATGAAGGAGCATACAAGAGATCCAGCCCATACTAGCCCCCCCTTGAAAATAACAAATATTATTTACATTCAAGAAATCATTGATTATTGATCAAAGCACACAGATCTCCATTTTGAATGAATGTTACTACTGTGTTACACTCTCAAGGCCTGTACTGTATTTCCAAATCCAATCGCTACCCATTCAGGGCACTTGCAACTCCAACTTAATTGACTAATTTCATTAGCAGCTTTATAAGCTAAGATTGGATCTTGATTGTATCTGTTGACACCACCATTATGCGACATGATATTTATATCCCAAACCAGCACTTGGGAATCATCTCCTATAAAGGAGAAAATAACCATCAAATTTAATTACGGAAGATAACTAATTACATCAAATAATAATAATAATGTATGTAATTACTAACCGCCACTGCAGAGATGTCCACTATGATGTGGTGCCCAATTGACACAATTAACAGTCGACGAATGACCCCTTAATTCTGCAACAGGAACACCGGGAACTCTCACGTCTAATATTTGAACGTCCGCAGAGTCCATGTGAAAGGTGGCCAAATATTGTGACTCGATTTTATTAAAACATAACCTGAGTAATGGAGAGGGTTGAGTTGGGTTGGAAACAGACATGTTAACTTGTGAAGGATTTGGTATAGGCGTTTCATATATAATAGTGGAATGTTCCAGCGATCTATTAAAAATGGTAAACGTTAAATTTCCTTTCTAAAAGATCTAATATAACCAATAGTTGTAGAAAATGACATAAACCTCAAATCGAACATCCTAACACTTCCATCTGCACCAACACTGGCAAAGATATCGGTAGAGCCAGTCGCAAATGCTACATCATAAACTTCTTTATCATGAGCAATAAGTTGCGTCTTTGCTTGTTTAGTCTCAACATTCCAAACGGTACAGGTCGTATCAATGCTTGATGTAACCGCCAACGTTGGATCAAGTTCATTCCAATCAAAGGATGTGAGTGGAGCATTGAAATCAGCTTTTGTCTAATCGAAGATTAATTATTATTCATTTCTCATTATCATTAGGAAAATAATTCTGTCCGAGAATATATGTTCGTTAAATCTTACATTGGACAACATAATCTTGTGAATTAATTTTTTTTGTCTGAATCCTGTGTGATTATTAGCACCAATAGTGTTACTTGGATTAATTATTTCATCTGTAATTTCCCACAATCGCAAATGATCACCAGCTGTAGCTAATAAGTCGGGAGTATTTAATCCCCCCTGTATATTGAGAATGGTTAATTAATCAAATTTGATCAGCCTACGATTTTGAATTTAAAAACTTACCCTGAATGGCTCCCATAATACTTTAGTAATTGGGTAATGATGGTCAGTTTCGGCGATTTTTACAAAGTCAGTATTAGAAGGTCGAAGGTAAGGGTCATCATAAGCCAGCTCGGACAGCGTAATAATTTGCAGCTTTGATATTAAAATAAAATATCAAAATATTATTAATTCATTCATAACTATAAAATAATGAAGTCCGGTAGGTTTCCAGTAAACATTGTCACATTTTTTTTTTTTTTGTGAATTTTGTGAATGTGCAAGAATGTATGCTCAAATTATTACAGGACATCAAACTTGATCCTGCGTTTAACTATCGGTTATCAACATGGATCATTGAAAAATGTCGGAGGCACAATCAATAGAAAAGGAAATGACTAATACACTATGTGGTTTGAATGATTGAGGAAAGTTTGCGACGGGATTAAGGTAATAATTTATGCATTTGCGAGTATTTTGTGCTAACCGAATGAACAAGAAAAAAAAAAGATATGAAAAGTCATAATGCTCAGGTAAATGAACGGCGAACCTTATTAGAAGAATCTTCAATGAAACTTCCCAGGGCCAATCTAAAAGCTTTTTCACCGGGTCGCTTAGACCAATCTAAACCGTACACAGGCCATGGAGCCTTATACTCGTACATTTCTTTTTTTAGTAAACCATTTGCGATGTCTGGGCGAGCTCTAGTGCTACCGTTAAGTTCTGAAGGAAATGGCGTAAGTGGTGGTGAAGTAGGCGGGTGAAGGTGGGTTGGTGGTGGTGGGTGATAGTGTGGCAAAGACTGTTGGCCTGGAGGTAGTTGTTGTTGATGATATGTGCCACGAGCCGGTGCTGGAAATGTTCCAGGAAGAACTTGAGCTGATTGTGTTTGTGGTTGGGGTGGACGAGATGGGGAAGAGGTAGTTGGCTGTGGAAGTGTTTCTGGGTAAAATGAGTTTGGTGGGTAAACAATTCTTTGAGCTGAAGATTGATGTGTCATTGTCAGTATATTTCCACTCTTGTTATACAAAAAAGGCAGTAATAATTTCTTCGCGGAGTTTGATATTAGGGTTGAATTTTAATACGATAATGATAATTTATCTGATAAAGTCCGAAATAAAGTTTTTATAAGAACGAAAGCAAAAAGCTAAATAAAGTTTGTTGCAAATGTGAACGAATCCAAAAAGACAGGTTTCTTCTGTTTTTCAAAAAAAAAAAAAAAAAATAAAAAAAAAATTTCGTAGTAAATAGGTTTTTTTATTTCGTAATTAGGCACTTTCTAGCGTTACACCTGGTGGTAATTATTATTAACACGTAAAGTCGCGTTTAACGATGTAAAAAGCTAATAGTACTTTGATGGAAGAAGTATATTATTATTAATTTTTTTTTTTTTTATGTGTTAAAAAAAAGGAGCAAGAGTAAGGGAAAAAAAATTTTTTTTTTTTCAGTTGGATGTTTCAAACTGCATCATATGTCTGTCAATTTTTTACTTTTCGGAGATTCTGTATACTTTGTACACAACATTTGTCTGACATCACTACCTGTCAAAATGTCGTCTTTTCTTTTTGTGTCATTATCAAAACCAAATCTATATCTTTTTTATTTTATTTATTTTTTTTTTTTTTAAGCATTTAAACAACATTGTGCATCAAATAGTGTTACATCATTGGGGGCTATCTGATAAAATCTAGTTTTGTAATCAAAAGAATTTTTAATTAATATAATTAATTGTGCCAGACTGAAAACTTGTATGTGATACAGCTTTTCATGTCACATCTAAATATATACCTAATTTATAATAAAAAATATGACCAAAAATTTCCTCAAATCCACTTTGAATCACTGGCTTTGTTCTTCCCAAAGGCAGCTATTACTCGATTTGCGTTCCTCGCATAATCATGATGCTTGCAGAATTATTCCTTCAACTTGCATTCCTCTCGATGATATTAAAAAACATTTATTCGAACTTCCCCCAAAATCTTTACCATTTGCAGTATTAGAACCTCATGACCACAAGGGAGTTGCTCAGAAATTGCTGATAGACCAAGGCTGGAAAGTTCCTTGGATCTTTGTTGAGGGAGAAGAATTATGGAAAGTGAGTCGAGAGCTTGGAATTTTAGAAGAACATGCCAATAACAATGGTAACAACACCGAAAATGAATCAAATCTTTCAAATCGACATGGATGGGTATTATTTCAACCTAGTCCATTCTTGATGAACAATATAGATTTCATCGAGAATTCACTCAAAACATTATCATCGAACCATGTTTTTAATTGTCTTGATGTCGCATGTGGAAGTGGAAGAGATGTTGCATGGTTAAGTTCGCGTCAAACTGTTGATTGGCGTACTACTGCAATTGACGCAATGTCTGGAGCTCTTGATCGCACAAGACGATTGGCATCAAGATCAGGCGTTTTGAATAAAATTCAAACCGTTCACGTTAAAATCATGACAAATGGATCGGTCAAAAAATATCAAGAATCGCCACCAGGTGATGATGTCTCTGGGAAGGTTGAGACTCGAACAAAATTAGATAACAGCATCAAGGAAAATCAAATTGAATTTTTAAAGAAAAAATATGATCTCGTACTTTCAATTCGTTTCTTAAATCGAGAATTCTTACCCACTATGGCAAATCTCATAAAACCCGATGGATTTCTTTTAATTAGCACATTCGTTAATGATGGAGAACATACTTATAAGAATCCACAAAGTAATTCTCATAGGTTAGAGCTTGGTGAACTTGACATTAAATTTCAAAAAGAATTTGAGGTTATAAAAGATGAAATCGAATTAATCGAAGATGGAAGGCCAGTGAATTCATTCCTTGCAAGAAAAAAAAAAGGGGGGGGAATATAACCTAAAAAAGAAATAATAAATATATATTGAGATAGGTACATTTAATTAAGTAAACATGGACGCATTGTTACTTCCTAACATGATACATTCCCGTGTTACTCGGTCAATCAGAAGTTTTTTTTTCGAAAAAAAATTTTTTTAAAACCACCTGGCTGCACAGAAATTCCAAAGATCTATTATTGGTTTAGATCATTTTATTTGGTTACCCAAAACCCCAAAATAAAATATCCGGAATCAATTATCCACAAAAAGTAATTTGGTTAACACACCTTTTTTGTTCGGAGATTACCGTTGATAATGAGAACCGTAAATAAAATGTCAAATTTTGACATGTTATGTGCAGATACGAATGATAATGCATGTTTGTTGTACATCGATTTTTATTACAGATAAAGAAACTTTTCAATTAAAGAGAAGGGTAACTGACAATCAAACATTAAAGAACAAATCAAATGTTTGGTATCACATACATGTACATTACTTGTACATGTAAATCAACGGCAAGTGAGATGAACGCAGTATTACTTTGAATAATTGCTCTGTCTAAATTTTGTCACAATGCTCGTCACACGGAATTTTCTTAAACTGGTCTAGTTTAAAGTTGTGTTCGCATTATTATTTCATTTCTAATTTTTTTTTTTTTTTTTTTTCAATCAACAAATATGCAGAATAATTTTTATACAAAGAAAACTTTTATTATTAAGTTCGAACTGTCAAAAAAAAAAAAAAAATTTTTTTTTTCCCGTTAATTTTACTAGTAAAAATAAAAAAGGAAAATGAGAAAATTGATTTCTGAAAACCTCCAACTCGAGATATTCCGACACGCTATATAATCAATAAGAGGACATTCTTATTTCCGTTCCGTACTGTTGTTAGTTTTATTTCAAATCACGTGACTCAATGCAGGGGTCGTCAATTCAAACCCAAAGCCAATTCACTCGATTGTTGATTTTCATTTTCGCTATGATATTCCCATTGATTGAACACATCTAATTCTAATTGATATTGATACTCGGCTAATCGCTCTTCTTCATATTCCCTAATTATCATTCCGGTCGCAGCATATTGAAGAACATGAACTCGTTGATATTGTTTCACATCTAATAAATCCTGTTGTTGGTTTTGTTCAATCCCTGCAGTATCAATTGTATTAGAGTCATAATTCGCCTGGTCTTGTTGAAAGCCAACTCCTGCATGAAGTTCTCCTTGTGATGCTGTATCTTGAGTTCTAACTTCCGCTACTTGTAAGTCGTATAATTTGGCATGTTGTTTATGAATGACTTGAGCCTCTTCAACTTCAACTCTAAATAAATTTTCAAGATTATCCGTTGTTTCATATTCATATGATCGATAAACCTCCCACCAATCTTCACTTTCTTCTTCGTAATGTTTATATGTGTCATTCTCTAATGTCTGAGAAGTTGCTTCTTGCTGTGCCACTGATATTCCAGGATTTTTTTGAAGTATTTTACCTGATTCCAATCGTTTTTGGAGAAAAATCATATGATTAATTGACTCATGGTTTGGATACTTTTTATGATGATCAAGTTTTTTTAAATTAAAAGTTTTTGGTGATAATTTTGATATCATTAATATGGATGTTGCAAATATTAAAAAAATAAAGGTTTTGAATGACATTTTGGGCGATGAAATTGTGGTCAAATTGAATCAACCGATATTTATAAGTTTTTTATCGCCAAGATTTTTGTTCTTTCGTGATTAATCGATGCTTTTTCTTATTTTGCATTAATTTCACTGATTTTGATGAAATTGGCTATTTTATCAGATAAAAAAAAAATTAAGTTATTTAAAATATACAATAAAATAATTTTAAAATAATTTATTACCAACATAATAGTAAAATAGTATAAAAATAATTTTAATATACTTTTCTAAATATAATTTAAATTTCTTTAATAGATTTATTAAATTAAAGTAATAAAAGATAATTTAAATATATGAATACTTATATTAAAAAGAAAAAAACTTCAAAAATATTTTTAAGTTAATATTAGATCTAAATTTATTATTAAAAATATCATATTTAATTTATAAAGTAAAATTTATTTTTTTTTAATAATTTTCTAAAAAAAATTATATATATAAATAATATTAATAGAATTTATAATCAATAAATATTTTATTTAAAAAAAATATGGAAACTTGTCAATAAAAAAAAGAGAAATAAAAATTTTATTAATTTTATTTTTAAGCTAATTTTGAATACATAATTATTATGATCAGTTAAGCAAATCAATAAAAAAGTTTTATCAAAATTTTAGATTTTTCTCTTTTCTATTGATTAGCTTTCATATTTAAATATTTAAATATTAAAAGTTAATTTAATTAATAAATTCAAATTGATAAAATTTTATATAATATAAATAATCAAATTAAAGCTAACATATTTAAATAAATTAAATAATAAAATAAATTTAATAATAAATTAAAATTAATATATAATTATTATTTTAATTAAATTTTTTTTATAATATAAATATTAGAGTTCTAAATAAATCTGTTCAAGTCAGGTCAATCAAATTATTGAACTAAAAAAATCAGGTCAGATCAAACAAAAATCTGATCTGATTTTAATTTTATTTGACCTAATATGATTTAATCTGACTGAATAATTATAATTAAACAATAAAAAATTATTCAAGAAAAATAATAATAAATCATTCTAATTGAATGATAATAAATTATCCTTCTTGAATAATATTGAATTATTCTAATTGAATAATAATAAATCATTCTTTTTAAATTAAATCATTTAAAAAAAATGATTGGTTGATTTGAATTTTGTTAAGTTTGATTAGGTCAGATTGATCTGTTAATTTGATCTAACATTAATCTAGATCTAATTTAGATTTTAGTCAAATCAAATTAGATAAATAAGTTGACCTGTCCTGATTTAGAATTCTAATAAATATATAAAAGTATTAATAATAAAATCTTGTTATAAATTAAATAATTTATTATATCTTATAATTTGATTTTATTTATAACAATCTCATATATTTATTTCATCTATATATAATTAATATAAAATAATATATAGAAAATATATAATCAAAATTTATATAAATAATTTAGTTCATTTTAGTTATATTACTTATAAAAAATATTAACTAGAGTTCCGAATGAGTTAAGTCGAGTCAAGTTTAAAGATCAACTCGACTCTCTTTTTTCAAGTCAAGTCGAGTCAAATTTATTTTATAAAATCTTTCAATTTGATTTGATTCGAGTTATACAAATTTTAAACTCGACTCAATTTGACTCGACTCGATTTTAACTCGATTCGACTTTGAAAAAAATAATAAAAAAAAGAAATGAAAAGATCGGGAGGGGGGGGAGAAAAAAGAGCAAACGATTCAGGTTATCGTTCAAGTTGAACGATTCGTCATCGTTCTTCTTGAACAATTCGTCATCGTTCTTCTTGAACGATAAAAAAATATCGTTCAAGTCAACTCGAGTCAACTTGAGTCAACTCGAATCAAGTCGAGTTTAAATCGAATCGAGTTAAATATTTAACTCGACTTGAATTTGACTTGACTCGCAAATCATTGAGTCAAAAAACATAAACTCGACTCAATTTAAACTAGAATCGGCTTATCTGACTTGTGAGTTAACTCGACTCGTCTGGAACTCTAGGTCTGTTAAATTCTTTGAGGTGAGACAAGAAGGACTGTTTGTGCTTTTGTATTAAATTAGTAAGAGAAATTGTATTTAGGGAACAAGACCAAATGTGATCAAAGTCTTCAGTTGTGGTATTACACTGGAAGCAGGTATTAGTGGTATAAAGTTGTGGATATCGTGCATTCATTATTGTAAAGTAAGAAGTATTTATAATAACAATTTGATCTTGAATTATTTTAGTTTGCACGCGTCAAATGATGTCACCCTAGCATTTTCTGAATCATTAAGAATGTAAAAGAGAGTTTGCCAATCAATGTGAAAATTGTGGTACTTTGTAAATTGGGAGAGGGATAAAAGTATTCCAGCCCAAGATGCTTGTTGCATGTGTTTAATAAATAAACGTGGTGGTGTGATGATTGGTATGTTATTATAACTCATGAAGTATTTTGGACCTAGATGTTTACTATTAATACTCAAAGGGTCACCAGAGAGTTGTTTTGCTAGGGCATCTACTTTATTGTTAAGTTCGTCTGATCCATGAGCTTTGACCTTTGTCAGCGACAACATAATATTGTTGGATGTAATAAGTTGCATCAAGATCATCCAAATATAGAAATAAGAAATTTTGAAAGCAGAATTTAGTGAAGGAGATTCCTCACATATGGTGGTGATTTTTTGGTATGAGACAATTGCAGCTTGTGAGTCTGTGCAGATTTCAATAATGAAATTCAGTGGAGCTGTATATATAGCAGCAAGAATAGCAACTATTTCTGCTAATGTTGAAGAAGGAGAGTGTGAGATGAGTGTTACATTAAAGGAGAATAAAGGTTAGTTTTGGTCAGTTTGTAACCATGCTATTCCCATCCAGCATTCAGGAGATCCCAAGGATGTGAGTGAACCATCTGTATAGAATTAAAGAATATTAGCATTAGTAAATTGGGATTTGAGATGATCTAATTTATTAATGGATGTTTGATCAAAGGGGATAACTTCTAAGCTAGATAAAGATCTGGTTAGATATTGATAAGGAGATGTCAAAGTTGACAAAGCAATTTCATGAAGCATAAGGTAAGAAAGACTACACCACTATCCTTCGCGGTATTTGTGAAAAGTTTTAAATATAGGATAAAATGATTTGGGTAATTTGATAACATAAAAATAATGGCATTGTTGTTGTTTGTAAGATATAAAAGCTGAATGGTCGAATAGGTTACATCTAGTACAAGAAGCAATAGGTGTTTGAAGGTTGTCAGCTTGATTTGGCAAATAATATTGTGCATGGATGATAGTATCTTCGACTTTGACTACTTTGCCAATTATGAAGGTCATATATTGGTTAGACCAAATTGTAACAAAGGTTGGGTTGGTTGTTGAAATGTTAAAGTTGGTTGGTTGAGTAGGTGCTTTGATAAGTGAATGGTAAGGAAGGCATTTATTGAGTAGTAGTCGATTTGAAGTACTGGTCAAGAGCTGTGACTCCAGTTGTTTGAACTATTTAGCACTATGGAATACTGAATCTAAACCACTGAAGAATAAATCCTCACTCAATGATTCGATTCATGCGAGAAAATTATGGTCTGACCAAATGGACGAAACTGACACATCCCATCGATCACCTAAAATACTTACACATGAACTAACAGACACACAAAAAATTTTAAATCAATTGGATGCCATCATCGCAACCCTCGCAACTATTCACAATGACCTTGCCTTTTTGATGCACCGTCTTAACGAAGTGGAAAAGCACCTAAACATTTTCACAATTACACCAAAGAAAGCTGCTACACTTAATGAAACAGTTAAAGCTGAAAGCACCATAGATACAGACACTGTCTACGAACCAGAAGTTGATACATCAGATTCCAGAGTCATTGAACAAGAAAAGCATATCGCAATCCTACACGCAGAAACTGAAGAACTACAAAAGCACAACAAAATTACGGTTGAAAAACTAAACATTGCTCTTAAAGCCATTTCTAATGTTCAACACATGATTCTTAACGACACACACCCTACACACATAATTCTGATTCCTAAACTTAATATACTTAGCGCAATTGACTCCTTAGAAGATGGCATAGAGATTTCTACCCCAGATCTTTTCTTTAAATAATTATAATAGTACAACTAACGAATATAGAAACAGTATCCATCACCCTTAATATCACCACCCATAACACTTATTCTTTTACTTTAACACACAAATAGCAAATTTTTTTTAATTTATACTCTCTTTACTATTTAGACATCATCGCCTTACAAGAAACAAATTTTAATAAATCATCCCATACACACTCCTTAAAACTCATTTGTTCAACTAAATTTGTTCCCTTTTTTAACACTGACCCCTCAACACAAAGTATGGGTTTCAGAGTTGGCTTTCTAATTAAAAAACACCTGGCTGACCATGTCTTTTACCACTTCTCCTTCTTTCATCGCATATACATGATAGATTTTCAATTTAAAAACAAACAAAAACTTCGTATCATTAACGTTTATATTTCCAGTTCTGACAAAAAATTACGTGAAAAAACTTACAAAAAGGCTTTAGACTTATTAAACAATGCACATCAAAAGGACTTCCTTATGATAATCTTAGGCGATTTTAATGCTGATTCGTCACGACCCTCCAATCCTTCAAACTCGAAAGCCTTTTTCACTTCGCTTGATAATCTCTACATAATTAATAATCTTAACCTCATTAAGAATCAAAAATCGAATGATGACCTCATTACATATGAAACTAGCACTGGACATTTTATAATAGACCACATTTTTATGCACTCTTCATTAATCCCCGATCTTATCAATCAAACTGTAGAAAAGATTGATAGAGATTTGTCAGATCATGCTATTGTTTATGCAACTATCTCTTTAGCATCTATTAATCTATTTTTCACCCAACGTGCTGCAAGTAAAAAGCTAGTATTTCAATATGACAAAATGTCTGAGGAGAATTGGTCTGCCTTTGGAGCTTCAGTTGATCAATGATGTAA